CTCTCTCTCTCTCTCTCTCTCTCTCTCCTACTTTCTCCCCACTTCTCATAATTTAAATATAAAAATAAAAACATTTAAATAAGAGATACGAAGGGAAAGGAAAGATAAAACCTCCAAAAGTTGTGGCAATTATGACACCAAACAGCAAAAGACAAACAAATCTGTTAATAATATACAACAAAACTATTTATTGCCATAAATTTGATAAGAATTTAAAGTATTTTAATTTGATGTCAAATTAATTTGTGTTTTATTTTTAGTTTCGATATCAAAAGATTTACTTTTTAAATATTATCGTAGTTTTAATCAAATATATAATATTTGTTTCAATGTTGGGTCTGTTAAACGCATTCACAGTAAAACTAGTGTATTATTAAAAACAGTTTTATTTTATTATTTTTAAATTATTTATACACTAAATCTGGAATGCATTCAATGTCTGTCCAATTATAAAGACTTTTAATTATTATACACATTGAATGTAATTAAAATAAATAATATATTTTGCTTGTATTTTGATATAAGTCCTGATAATAGGATAAAATGTTATTTAATGCGATTACAAATGAAAATATACGACCAAAACAGTGACAAAATCCTATTTATTTAATTATTTTTAAATGAAATATTCATGTTTTTAATTAGAGATTAGTTAATGAGAAAACAAGGAAAACATATTTACTATGTATTTATTTATACAGAATGTGAATTGAAATAAATTTCACTTTTATGAAATGTTTTTCAAATATTACACTTACTTTATATGATATTAAATTCAATTTCAATGAAATTATCGCCAAATTTAACGATTAAACAGTGATTTAATGCAAATATAAGTTGCGTTTAAAATATTTGTTAAAATTGATTTCTTAATTACAAATTATATTGAATTTTAATATCTGGCATTTCAAGTCATTAATCATGCATTTTATGGCCAGAAATCAATTGACAATAAAAATATATTATTTAATGTATTCACCAATCCTTCTAATCTCAAGTCTAATCGTTTTGTTTTGAAGTTTTATTATTAATATTTAAATCTAGAGATAATTATATGCTTTGAAAACAAAATTATCATTTTATAGTCAATATAAATACAAATGAATAACAATTATAAAAGTATTTCAATTATTTCAATAAAAAAATTGTTACCACAAAAAGTGGTTCAAAAATATTTTAAATAAAGTCTTTAGAGATTGTTATTATTATCAATATATTAATACAATTATACAGTAATTTATACATACAGTGTATGTTTGATGCAATCAATGGTTGGATTGAAATAATTTGACAATTTACTGAAAATCATATATCAATTAATCAGTTAGTGGTTTGAGACAAGTATTTTAATTTCAATGACATGTTGTGTCAAAATCACACGTTTTCATATGATTTCTAGATATCCATATAAATCAACTAATCATTCAAATTATACACATTTTATATATTTATTTCGAAATATTATGAATTTTAAAATGATTTAATTTAATGCATTGAATATACTGTATAATAAAATCAGTTACTCTATATTCATGATGTAAAGGGCGAGGAAAAACAGACCTAGATTATGGCCACATTATGGATATTACACTATATACCTAAAACATAAACAATAGGTTAAAAATACACATTTATCACGAATTTAGTGTCAAAATGTCTAATAAACTTGGTTTACTATTTGCCATTAAAATACTGATACATTTTAGTACAATACATTAGCATGCTCAAAATTCAATATAAAGTTATAACGTGAACCTTTGGCCATCCCTGTCGTTCACAACACTTCTAGTGACCATTTATTTGTCACGAATTTAAGTGCAAAATTCAATGAAATACTAAATGCATTAAAAATTGCAAATCGTTTATTAATAATACTTATAAAAACTTGTAATGCGATTGTTATGGCATTCAATCAAAAAAAAAATGAATAGTGATTTTGCAGACAATTCATAATTATTATGTTTATTATATAAGTTATGTTGTAATGCATTACACATTTTATAAGATGTTTTATAATACGAAAAAAATGTGTTGAGTTTTACAACTCGTGTTCAACAAAAAAGTTATATAAATTTAATATAACAAAAGAGAGACATAATTCTTACAAAATATTGGCCAAAATTAAAGCATCAAAAAATACTTGTGTTAACATTTTTCACGTATAATTAGTTATGCTTTTTCCAACACATTTACCATTAGTTCAAGTTTAATACAAAAATTAAAATTAATTAATTTTTGATAAACATTTTGCAACAAACAAAATACAATTTACTATTCAATTGAATTGTTTTTTGTTTTATTTGCTTCAAAATCAATTTCTAATCCCTTTCTGGAAATATTTTGTGAAAAGTATGTAAAGTATATTCTGCTGTCTTATCGATTCAAATAAAAGCAAAAACTTTTTTCTAATTAAAATATTTTATTAAAAATACTTCAAAAATAATAACAATAAAAAGAGATAACATTATAGTGTAGTGAAGCCAAAGAGGCAAAAGTTGTTGAGCTATATTACGACATACGGATAGTTGTAATGCAAGTCTTTCTCTTCTGACAAATCTCGTATACAATGGACTCTCGCTATTATGAACATGTTTTATATAGTGTACACAAAGTAATTTAATAATTTATTGGTTAGCAAAAATAATCATTGACTATTACCTAGTTACAATTACTACTAATAGTAACTAAATAATTCATTTGGTATGCGTGTAGGAATGAATGCATTGATTAGTGTACAAACTAGTGGTACACTATAAGACTGGTTGGTTGTATGCGGTGTGCAATGAAAAGTACTGAATGAGCGCCCGGAGCCCAATGGCCTACATATACGGCGCGCGAAATGCCGTAAATTTGTGGCAAAAGTTTTGTTTTAAAACACAAACACTTCGCTGACAAGTGGTAAACACCGACACTCTCTTGAAGTCTCTCTCAAGCTATTGATTGAATATTTTTTGTTTCAAATAAAAGTTTTTTTTATTCATTTATGAAATGTTTTTCAATTTAATAAGAAATAAAATCTTTGCATAAATAGTCTCTCATTTGGACTCAAGGTTTGAGCAAATGATGAAATCAAAGAAAAAGTTTTTTCGCTAATTTAAAAATACATATAACTTTTATATTTATTATTTTTCATATGAATACCAATGAATGTGTTGTGAGAGAAAAATTTTGAAGAGAGAAAAACTTTTTTAATTAGTTTTATGAGAATAATGATGTGTCTCGTAAACGGTTGTCGCGAGTAGTGGTGATTCCCAATTAACAAAACCGTGTGTTTAATTATAAATACATCGGTTATAATGTGTTTAAATGTTTACGTGTAGTTTATGTGTGTAAATTGTGTGCGAATTGTGTTCAGTGTTTAAACAAATCGATACAATGATTAGCAGTTATCAGTCAGTTTTGGATGGAGTAAACAAAACTCATTTAATGAGACATCGGTTGCAATCGTGGAGAACGTTGTCTATAGTAAGTGTGATATCAACTCATTTTATATCTTCATTCAAATCCAGTGACACTATTAGACAATATCTCCTTATAATCGACTCAATTCTCATACGAAATGTGTTACTCCTATCGGATATATCTATCAATACATCAAATACTTTGATAAATATTACGGATTGAAAATATTTTACGTGTTTTATATTATTTTCAATCAATATTTTGATTGATATGTCATTATTGGTGTATTTGTGGGTATTATAAGTGAAATTATATTTAAAATGTACAAAACATTTCAATAGATTTACTTATTGATAAAAATTGTTTTTATAATGTTATAAATTCAGAAAGAAACTAATTATTGATAATTTAAAGAAAAAAAGTGAAAATATTTTCAATTATTTTTTATATGAAAAAATATTACAATTTATGTGAATTTTATATTTTTTAAAATCACTGAATTGTGAAAAATGAGATTTTTGAAAATGTATTTATTGGTCCAAAAAATTAATACATCGATAGGGAAGCCAAGAATTTATAGTTTAATTAATAGTAAAAGTGTTTGTATAACAGAAACTCATTTATTAAAATACGAAATCATAAATTTAATCGAGTCGTTAAATCTAATGTTTAATAGAAAAAACCCGTTAATTCACATATATTTTCTAAATTTTCCACATTTAAACAAAACCTTTAATTTGTGAAATCAATTGAAACTAAAATGAATTCACTATAAAGTATATTATCGATGAATAGTCAGAGTAATGAATGGTTTAAATTAGAAAATTTATTTTTTTAAAATTCCTAATTATTCACAAATAAATTCAATGAATACAACTAAACTTCAAATAAAAGTCTTGTTTTTGTCTTATATTGCACTGTATTATAGTATTAAGTGATTATAAAAATCTATTAAAAAAGTGCAGATTTCACAATATATTAGAGAAATGATGAGGAAATTGATTTATATGTGTATTTTCCTCTACTTATTGATTTAAATCTGTCTTTTATCAGATGATTGATTATAAGTATTAATTAAAATATATTTATTCATTATTTACATTATAAATAAATTTCAAAAATATGTATAACTTATATTAAAAACTTATACAATATTATGGCTTCGGATACAAAATCAAATGAAATATTTAGAAAAAAATTATTTTCTAAAAGATAGGAATTTTTCAACGAATTATTTTTTAACATTAATTGTTTGCATTTTATCGGTCTTCTCAGGGCTTATCATTTTTAGCACTAATACTCTTAACCGGAAAATTATATGAAGTCGACAGAGAAGTCAGTTTTTTAAAGTTTGTTAATAACGAATGGATTGACAACAATATACCACAAGAACTTCTTCATAATAATAATAACAGCTCTGTTCGTACGGCTAATCACAAAACAACACAACAAATCGCTATCTTTCACATCGAAAACTTTAAACAAGACATCGAAATACTGATCGGTTTGCCTCTTCTTATGTTTATGTCTATTATTATTGTTATTATTAGAAATACAAATCATAGAAACACGGCTCCAATTCATTGGCAGACAAAACAATAAGACATTTACGGGAAATATTGTATGAATATATAGAAAGTATAACAAAATTATTAACGGAAACACAGAGACACAGGAATAACCCAAATGTGAATCAAAAGATTGCAAAACAAATACAGAGAATAACAATAAGAGAAACAAAAGACATGCAATTTTGTGAATCAATTCATACGAGAATAATATACTTCNCGGAAACACAGAGACACAGGAATAACCCAAATGTGAATCAAAAGATTGCAAAACAAATACAGAGAATAACAATAAGAGAAACAAAAGACATGCAATTTTGTGAATCAATTCATACGAGAATAATATACTTCTCGACCCAAATATAATGCTAATCAATGATAAAAAACACTTTATTATACTTTTAATGTACATGTTTAGTACGACAATTGAATATTAATTGTAATTGTATACACAGTTGAGTTATGGTCGGCCAGAACTACCCTCATCCTAAGCCTGGTATTCGTTTTGGTCTATATTATTAGGTAAGCAATCATAGGTTTTTTCTATACATTTTTATTAATGGTAATCATAAATCTCTATGAATATCGAGATTTAAGTGTATGATTGAAATTACAAAATACATAATTTATAAATGATAACTGATTTATGATTTGCTGGTCTATAGCTGGGCCTGGATGGCATATGCTGTCAGTGAGACACATAGCTCGGTGAGTCTGCAAACATACTTGTCCTTATTATCATATATACCATTCATTTTGATTTATATGCCATTACAATGAAAAGCGAGAGACAGACAGACATGAGAAAGAGAGAAAGAAAGAGAGAGATAATTATTTGCAATATTATGAGTCAATTAATAATGAGTTGTTTTTAATTAAATGCAAATCAAAGCGTTTTTCTGAAGTTAAGTTTGATTGAAAGTAAAGCCGGAAAAAATACAAACTTTTAATATTAGTGTCACATTAATGTTATGCGAAGTCATACAACAAATCGGCGAATATATACACTATAATAGTCTTAAAATCATTTTTTATGCTATCATTTACATTAAGATGTAATTATAAGTGAATTTAGATTTCAAATAAATTAATAATCATTTCATGAATTTCTCGACAAACATTTAATACCGCAATCTTTTTCGTCTTAATATACATTAATAATGAATTTATAAATGTCTTAATGTTCTCATTCTCATGAAGTCATGAATAAAACTCATTACAAAATTCATCTCAAAACTCATGGCAATGGCTTTTTTCTACGGGAAGACACGAAAAAACAGACTGTTTTCAGTGTTGTTTCGTTTCCACAATTGAAAAACACATTTAAGTGAATAAACTTTCAATTGAAACACAAAAAAGTAGAATAATTCACTAAAAATTAGTTAAAAAGTAATAAAAACGAAATAAAACTTAAATAAAAGATTAATTGGACTGTCATTAGTGAAGTATAGCTCGCAGTCAGAGGTATACAAGTTATATAATACTGTATAACATGTAAAAATGTATTACATCTTAAGAAATAACATAACTTTCATTACTAGTTAAATAGGTTTTTCGTGTATTGTAATCAAAAGCTATTCAATCAACATATTTGTTATAAAAAATAAAATTATTTAAATATTTATTTGATATTTTGCAAACACATAACACATATAGAGAGAGGTGTCGTTGAAAACGGTATTACTGTTAGCCGTGTTCGCGGCCGTAGACATCGCCGCCAGCGCTGGCTTTGTGATGGTTCGGGTGATTATGGTATGCAATCATTTGATCTCATTTATGAAAATAGTGCCCAATTGTGACATTTAATGGATGTATTTTTCTATGAGATAGTATGCTATGAGAGATCATTACTTTCCCAAAGACATGCGAATCCCAGCCCCGGGTGTAGAACACGACCAAATGGTTGCGTTTACGGCATTACGTTTGGCAACACTTAAGGCAAGAATAAAATAGTTTTTAATTTGTTATGCGATTATTATAAACACGTTATAAATTATAATTTATAATATAATAGCATTAATGTAAATATTATGTCTCAAAACAGTCAAGTTCTGGAGCGACCGATGTGTTTGTTTCGGTGATCGTCGGCTTTCTCACCGGTTTAAGAGTGTATTCAGTGATTTGTGCCGTTTCTTACTATAGGAAAGTTCGCAGAGGTTTGAATGAATTCATATAAAAATCATTAATTAAAATGTTTGAAATTTAATTGTTTTGTAAAAATGATTTCTAGACTCAATCGGAAGCAGTGATTATTCGAGTGACAAAACCCAAGTCAAAGATATCGACGATTTTCTTAAACAATCGCCAACTTATGCGTAAGAGTGGACAAAAACTTTGCAATTTTTACATTATTATTTCAATGGACACATATTTTTACCGCAAAGCATTCAAATTTATTGCATTTAAAGTTTACTTTATTTTTGACTATTTTTTGTTTGAATATATTTTACGACTGAATGAATGGAAACTATTATTCATTTCTTGCCTATTATTTGATGAGGAATTAATGTTTTGCCATCACTTTTGAAAAATATTGTTTTTTGACAAATTTCCATAGATTTTGATGTTTTGAAATCACGATTTGAATGGCATTTAATGAGCCAATTATGTCATACACTATAATTGCTTACAATAATAGCACATAAAAGTTTTGACCCAATATTTCAAGAAGTTATTCACTAAAAATCTTTTTGACATCAAATCAATAAAATTTTTTATGTAATTTATACAATTTATGCTCAATTTGAATGTTTTAGTGAATATTATATCCAAATTAAACCAAAATGGAGAGAGAGAGAGAGAGAATTATTTATAATCAAAAACTAATTCATGTGCCAAAAAATCATAAATCATTTGTTTCATAAATTATTTAAAACTATTTAATTATTAATAAAAATAATAACAGTAATTAAAATAATAAAATATCTAAAATAAATCGAAAATGAATAATACATTTGGTTATTGAAAATAGTCCTAAAGTTCGTGCTCTGAACGCACATAAGGAAAGGGAGCGCCGGTTCTCTATCGGTGGCGTTGAGGACACCATCGAAGAGGAGCGGACGGCCGAACTCAAGATACAGGCGGCAGATATGCCGCTACACATGCAAAAGGCTGCCGTCCAGAGCACCACTCATGCCATTAAAGTGTACACAACTGAGAAACATATCGCCGAAAGTGTGAAACAAGACTTCGATCAGTTATATCAGCCGACGTGGCACTGCATTGTGGGCCGCAATTGGGGCTCATGTGTCACACACTCGAAGGTAGCTCTACCCCCACCCCTCCCCTTCCCCGACACCACTTATCCCATACCTGTTTAACACAAACACACTTTGTTTTACTAATATCTGCCGATTGTTTATTTATATACAAGTATTTCTTGCCAACAGAAAAATGCTTTTATAGATATTTTGTTCAATTGTTTATTAAAACTATTTTTGTTTTGTTTTATTATCTCATCAAACGATTGAATCCAAAGGCGTGTTACATAAGAATGCTATACAAAGACTTAACAATACTTCTCTACAAATCGACTTAAAACTGAGTGAACAAACACTTCAATTGTTTGGATATTAAGACTCGTTATTTGGATAAAACTTATGGAAAAACTTTTATGATTTTTTGAAATAATCATAAGTTGTTTGTCTTTAAAGAAGTTTTATTATGACTTAAATATGTGATGAAATACATTGCATTGTGTTTCTTAAAATCAGAGTATTTATCATTTTGTTAATAATTTGAAACATTTTTGTGAATTTTTTAAGAAATCAATTTTTATTTAATGATATATTTATTGAAGATTTTTTATTATATAATAATAGCAATAAAAATCATTTACTTGTATAAACTATTGCATTAAAAAATTTCGTTTTGTAAATGTATTTTTCTTCTATTCAATTGAAAACTCAATTTTAAAAACAATTTTCTATTATTATTATCAATAAAATTAATCACAAGATTATAAATTATATAAAAAATATATTTTAAAAATTTATCCATCGATTAAGATATTTAAATGTTTTGTATTTTGTATTTGATATAAATTGTGTTAACAGTAATACTAATAGAAATCATATTACAAGTTGCACATCAAATAAAACAGTTTATAAATTAAACACTAGATTAAATTGTAAAACAATACATTGTAATTCATGAATAAATTCATACAAACAATGAATATTGAATATTGAACTTGAAATAATTGATATAATCTCTAAATTACCCTTAAATAATCAAAATTAAAATTTATACAGGTAATAAGATTAGTTTATAAAATTAAGTGTAGACAAACAAAAATGTGTAGTTAACTAATTCAGATAAACGCTACCAAATTGTGATCAACATATTATTTGATTTTACATGTTGATTTTATTAAATGCATGCAAACAATTAAAAGTTCAAATTTTTAAAGTTATTATAAAAGCTATTAAAAACTGATTAGATTTAAACACTTTATCGTCTAAACTGAAAACAAATTGCCGTCTCTATCAATAAAGTGTTGAATATTGTCATTGAATTGATCCCAAAGTCGTACAAAAATGGATTGGCAGACAATCGCATGGCATATAATCATACCACTAGTGATTGCAATACTAATTATTCTGGGCTTCAGAATCATACGAGTGGTTATCAGAAATTTCATCCCTATTCTTGTGATCGCGTTATTGGTTTGGGTCGCGATGTTTGTCACCAAAATTTTCAATCCTTTCTCAGGTATTCGTTCACTCATTAGCGATACATTCTTAGGTCAAACTCTGCCATCAATGGCATGATTTATGCTTCAGTTTTGTATTAAACTATCACTTGATTGATCTCCTATTGAATTAGATGTGGAAACAAAAGTCCAGTTCACTCAAAACAGTTCTGGGCCTCAGATCTCATACTCCGAGTCTTTCAAACTTAAAAATCCGTACAAATCTGGTGGTAAGGGATTAGGTCTCTACGGATATTCAGTGGCATTGTTAGTGGGATGCGTTGCCATTTTAGTGATGGTTATCTATTGTCGATATCGGAACCGTTGATCACAACAAACATCCATTCATTTGTGTGAAAAGTTTTAGAAAATTTTTTTACATTAGTTCCATATGACTAGTATTTCAATATTATTTTCACTTTTAATAAAAATTATCTCAAATATAATCTACATTATCTCTTATACATTCACTTTTATCACAAGTTTTTAATCCCTTTTCAGTTTTAGTCAAAAATCTGAAATATTTTACACGCGTTTTACGAATAGTCACTACATTTTTAATTAGCATTAGTTTTATTAATTTCAAAGAGTTTTATAGCCATTCGTATTAATTATGTGTTATCCACGCGTTGTCACTGAAATTACTGCAAAATTCCCGGTCATTGATGGCCACGAAGAAGGCGAAGACCAATGGCTCGAGAGTAACAATCATATGAGTGAACAATTGCGCGAATCTGTGGTCGCATTTCGGGATTTTTTGGATCAATTGATTGAATGGCTGTCGGAAATGAAGCCCTCAAATGACGGCCACTCTGTCAGCAAACTATTGATGAAAATAATGTACGACTTCAAGGATGTAATCAGAAATCGAAGTCTTGAACACCGATTAAACAGAATCTATAGCCGAGCCGTTCATAGCGAGCGCCGACACGAACGCCGTGTTAACGAACACATCCGCGGCGTTGAGTACGATATCAGACGTTTGGATGAGATAATGGACAGCATTGAAGACACGGCCACAAAGTGTCACATGTTTCACAATTTCGCGCATTTCTATTCAGATGAGTTCTACCCCGAGTTTACCGCAAATGTCTTCAATCAAAGAAAGTACTTCTCCGCTAATCAGACGGTGTTGTATAAAGCGTTCGTTAAGTTGTTGTGTACTTATAATAATGGCTTATAATTTAGTTTGTAATTCAGTTTGCATTTTAGATATTTTATCAATTGTTTTGTAATGTTCTATATTTTGTATTTCTCAATAGATATTTAATAGTTATTCTTATAATAAGTTTTGAATTGTTTTTAGAAACTTTTAATAAATATTTTATAAATATAATATGTTAAATGTTATTATGATTGAAAATTTTGTTTTAAATATAAAGCAAAGCAAACGCTTTATATAACAAATAGTTTACGAATAGAATTGTGTGTTATTTTAGGCAAAAATAGATAACAAAATGAATATTAATGAAAGTGTTATGATATGAGAGCAGAGATGACCACAAGGTTTGGCATAAGTGGCAGAACTGATACCGTATTTAAACTCAGCGATCGGTGCTTTTGTATCGCATGGTATGTAATCTTTGCAAAGAATATTCTTGTAGTTGTTCTTCGAGTTGGTATAGGAATAAATGGTTTGTTTGGCGCAGAACTCGTCCGATATATCGAAGCCGTCGTTACGACATTTGGTGTTGAGTTCATCGGTTTCTCGTTTCATTAGATCCGTAAAAGTGGTATCGATTTCGCAATTCATGTGATAAACCCGATTCTTGACGCACAGACTCTCACGGATGTGACAACAGGTCTGAGCGTTGAGTTTAATGACGGGTGGCGTGTCGTCGACGGCCACGTCTTCGTCGGCACTCTTTGTGGCTTTCGCTTTAGCCGTGCGATTGCGAAAGTATTCAGGCATTAGTCCCAAAATAAACTCTCTCAAAGAGTTTGAGATGTTTTGGGCCGTATTGACCATCGCTTTGATATATTTGGTGCCGTTTATCATCTGTTTGAGAGCCGACTCCTTAGGCGTCGGTTCCCATCTCTGTTGCGAGCATTCATTTAATTCATTCATAATATCGTCCAGTTTTTCGTGAGAAAACCCGCACTTTTCCGGATGCTTCACATCGGATGGCGTCGACTGGACACCAATGAGACAATAGATAATAATTAGCACAACGTTTGGGATCAATAGTTTAAAGACAAACATTTTCAACAATAGTCTACTGTTTGCTAAACACAACCGAAATCAACGGTTTTTATGTTTGTCGAGGAATAGGAATATTCTATGTTTTGCTCACGAAATTTTGTAAGAATAGTATTGTTAACATTTAGACTGTTTATGTATATTATCTTTATATTCAACAAAACAGTTAATTTACATAAATTACTAAAATTGGTTAATTATTTAAATAAAACCATTGTTAATATAATGCCTATCTTATATTTTATTTCACATAAAATATTAAATTATTATTAGTTTTCCGCGAATGTGTTCAAAAAAAGTATTTCTCCGCACATCACAAGTATTGTATTGTAAGGCGTTTATCACTTATTATTCATTACTAATGAAATAATAACGAATCATTAGTTATTGTGTACTTATAATTATGAATAAAAAATTATTATTTGACTTTTTCTATAGTTATTAATAATAATCACATATATTATACACCATTTAGTTTTATGCATTATTTTGATTGTTTTTTAAATTTTAATAAATATTTTATTTATATAAGGTTTTGTATTCACTTTGTTTTATAATTTAGCTCTAAATATGTATTAAACAGTTTAAGATTGTGTGTAATTTTAGACAATAGTAGACATCAAACTAAATATCAGTG